GACGAGGAGAGCGAGCGTCTGGAGGCTCAGAAGAACGACTTTATGGATTTATTTACCGAAGAGGATTTCAGTGCTCTTCGTGGTGGCTGGGAAAGCAAAAAAGAGAGAGTTAAGAAGGGCCTGCAGTTTTGGGGTTTATTCATCGCAACAAAACCCACAGAAAGCAACTAAAATATTAAATATATATCTGAAATATATAAAAAATAAAAAAAAAAAATCAAAAAGAGAACATATATTTATGTTTAATTATATATCGTACAAGTTATACAACAGATCATTCAGATTTAGATATTTAACGAGCTGTGCATACACCCCAAATATCGCACCGCAAACTGCATCTTTTTATTTTATTTCTTCGCGTTTTATAAAACTCAAAGAAGCCGCTATGCGCGCCGGTGTACATACACCTGAGTTTTTTAGTTTTTATTCAAATTTTAATCGTTTTAAGTGATGCAGAACAATGAAAAGGAAACGTCCAACACACACCCTCATAGATAAACTTACCAGCAGTAGCTAGCTAGCTAGCTAGCTAGCTAGCTAGCTAGCTGATTCTGATGTCTAGCTAGCGAGCTAGCGAGCAGATGATGATGATTAGCTAGCTAGTTTAATGATTTTGATGGCTAGCTAGCTAAAAAACCCTGATGATGGCTAGCTAGGCAGCTTATCGTTTGTAGTAGAACGCACTGATGAATGATGCTACCGACTGATGACGGCTAGCTAGCTAGCAAGCTAGCTAGCTAGCTGGTGACTAACTCGGTAGCTAGCTGTATAGCGGTAGAGAAGGGAGGTTAGGGGTATTGCGAAGGTAACAGAGGAGAAAAAGAAGAGAAACGAATTAAATATAACATCAATATGAGAGAAGTGAGAGAAAAAACACAACAAATGACAGAAGTGGGGTTCGAACCCACGCCCTTTCGGACTGCGGCCTTAACGCAGCGCCTTAGACCACTCGGCCATTCTGCCGTCGTTTTGTGTTTCAGTATACGGGGTTGATATACTGTGTTTCTTTCGTTTCTTTTTGTATTCAAATGGAGGTTTATTTGGTGCATTTCTTTGTTTATTTTGTTTGTGTATCTCCGTACTGGGTTTACTCGTGCGTGTATGGACTTATTTGCTCGCTTTCTTCTTTTTTTCTACGGGTTCTACATCTGTTTACTGCTCCTGGATTTGGGGTGTATGCATTCAACCGGTTGACGGCATTCAAATGAGTTCAGGTTTCGTTCAGCTTGGGGGGAGAAGGAACGAAACTACGACGAAATTATGAAAATAAAACGGAAATTATGATGAAATTCAAGTCACATTGCTTTAATTCTTTTATTTTATTATTTTTACAAGAAATTTGCTCAATTCAATCGATAAACTAGCAGAAGACTTGCGGTCCAATGGTGTTCATAAACGACGTCAACAAGTTTCCGGGTTTCGCTGTGCTGGGGTATACGAGAAAATAACGGAATATTACCGACGAAATAATAAAAATAATTGAGAAATAATAAAAATAATAATAATTTTGAAATAATAGTGACGAAATAATAATACAAACCAAACAATATTGATGTAAGCGTGCAGATTTCGCAAGCGATATGAAACGCCGATTCAGCTTTCCTTGTTTCGTCGGCTTGCTTGTAAACAGCAGGAAAGTCAATCGCCTGTCTCTGAGCGTATCATGATCCCATTATTATTATTATTTATATAATAATATTTATTTAAAAAAACGCAATGCATAAAAAATA